AAAGATTTGTTGCAAGCATCAATTTTGAATAAATATTTACTGATTTATCGAAGATTTCGTATTTCTCCAAATTACCGTTATATGGGATGAGGGCGTGGTTGTTGCCCGATTTTAAAAATTTTCGGCCATTTGGTATGCTGTACCAAGGCCAACAACTGTGCCAAGTTTGGAAGAAATTGGTGCAGCGGTTACACATGTAACCATAAGTGGGCGTGGCTACGCCCATTTTCCAAAAATTTATATATTCTTATAATATTATTGTATTTATATATTCTTATATTATTATTGTAAATATCAATTTTGAGTGAATAATTTTTCTGAAAATTAATTATTAATTACCCATTTTCAATACCATCCGTCCTACACCCGAAAGAAGTGCACGTACAAAGTTTCGTTAAGATATCTCAATTTTTACGAGTTATCGTGTGCACAGACGGACGGACGGACGGACAGACAGTCATCGCTTAATCGATTTCTCTTTTCATTCTGATCATTTATGTATAGATTTGTCTATATCTATCTCGATTCGTTTTGCCTGTTACAAACAACCGTTATGTGAACAAAGTTATAATACCCTTGTGCACAAGTGCGCTCGGGTTTAAAAATCAACGCGAGCTCCAAGATCGATTCGTATAATTTATAAAATAATGCATTTTACTTAATTTTTGTAAAACAACAAAACACAGCGATTTAACTAAGACTGAAATTGCAAACACTTATTGTGTATTATTTTTAAAATACATTCAATATACGGATTTGACTATGTAGCTTTGTAGCCCGTTGAATTTTAGTATGAAGATTTGAAATTTTGAAGATGTTGGGCTGTTGATTTCCGTTCTTCATGCAACTTATGATCGAAATTGATTTTTTATATGGAAAATAATTTTCGTGACAGTCAAAAAAAAAAATATTTCAAAAATCTACGGTAAGATCTAGCTTCGTTAAACTTGCACTTACCAAAATTGAATGGGCTGCTAAACTGCATTCTAAAATTTTTTCTACAAAGAGTAATTAGGGAGTGCAAAATTGTAATGAACATTTTTGGAGTTTTTTTGTAGTACTAGATATCCACAATTTATATAGATTTTCCAGGGTTAACCGTACCTCAATATGCCTCAATTTATGAAAAATCAATTGTCAATTCTCGAAATTTTTAGAACGATTCAGGGATCGAATCGGAACTGAAAAATCTAATCGGAATGTCTCGATTAATCGATCTTCGATATAACAAGTAATTTTTAGCAAAAAAAAAACCGACTTAAAAAAAATATATATGTATCTATATATTTTATGATCCAATGATCGGATCTAAACCAAATTAGTATGGGACCACCTCTGAGACACTGCCTTTCCGTTGCATAAGAATTATTGAAATCGGTTGACGTGGTGCAAAGTTATGCGGTAACATACATAAAAAAAAAAAAAAAAAAATATTCCGACGAACTGATAACCTCCTCCTTTTTTGGAAGTCGGTTAAAAATAGAGGCTATAATTCCCGTGAGTTTCTCCAATTGTCTTCTAATCTTCTACTTTAGAAAAACACATAAGAATTCTAAACGTTGCACAGAGGGGTAGTTGAACTGGTACCGGCAGAGCTACATGGAAGAATAATATTTGCAAATTTTAGTGGATTAGAGAAATGAACTACAGTCATAAAGTTATGTAACACCACTCAACGGCGCTGAGATTCTTGCTTGGGTGTTATGCTTGACAGTTCGTAGTTTGGAAACAAGCAAAAAAAAAACTGCTGAAAAGGTGCGTTTGCTGTGCACTGACCATTGGAAATGTTTACTACTGCCGAAAAATAAGCCGAAAATACTGCTGCAGTACTGTACCTGTTTTCTTTACATGTACAGGGTGTTCTGTCGAAGTGTTCAATGAGTAAAGGGGGGTGATAGGAAAGTCAAGACGCCCGACAACTTTAAGAGGGGAGGCTGGGACGGTGGGGGAGGAGGGGTTCAATATAAAAATTTGGAGAGTTGCAGGGAGAAAATAGTTGTCAGTATATTTAGAAAAAATGCTCTACTTAAGGGTAAGTTCTAGTAAAAATTTGCTAATAAGTTTTTAAGGTAGTAAAATAGTACGATTTCTTCCCAAACTACATATATGTATGTATGTATCTCATTACTTTAAACAATCAATTCTTGTAAATATGTATGTATATATATCCAAAGGTTTCTAGGAAACGACTCTAACGATTTTGATGGAATTTTGTATTCAGATAATGTTTTTAATTTTAAAGGTATCTGGAGATATTTGTTCAAAGTTGCCACGTATTCGAAATTACTTATAATTATTAATTCTAATAAGGCACAAAAGATTCACTAAAAAATAAAGTTAGAAGACATTTCAAATAAAACAAACTACTATATAATATAGTTAGTTCGATGCGTGTATGAAATTTCTGCGTGTTAGATAGGGTGCAATTTATTTCAATAAACCTCAACATAATGGTTACTCCGTATAGTGTTTTTTAATCATATGTTATTTTGATTTAATTTGGTTTTTTAAACAGGTAGCAACCCTTCTAAATGTAATTGAAAATTAGGCCCTTTCAAAGCCGTTTTGGATGATACCCTTAGCGTAGTAATTCATTGAAATTAATTGAATTACATTTTTTGACAGGTGGCAACCCATCTCTTGTTCCATATCCATGTTGTTAAAATGAATTTAACCTATCATATACATTGAATTTAATTTTTAAGCAAGTGGCAGCCCTGTTAAAAATAGTTTCAAACTATAACCTTATTAAACTTTTCAGTCTGACACCACTATGGTTATACATATTTCAGTTACCTTATTCCCTGGAATTAAAGTTGAATTTAATTTTTAAGGAGATGGTAATCCTCCCACATGTTGTTTAGAAACAAAGCCTTTTCAAAAACTTCTCGATTGATACCCATATTGTAGTATTCATTTAGTTTAATTGCATTTTATTTTTTAGCAGGTGGCAACCCTTTTCATGTTCTAACCTAGATATAAACCTTCTCCGCGGCGATATGAATACGTAGGTATCAATGTTTCCACCATCGGACCACGATATCATGGAGTCTATCGATGTCAAACTGCAAGCAACTTTATTTTCGTTGTTTTGGTCGAATACTTGCACATACTTCTAATCTATTTACTGGACTTTAAACATTTGCAGTTTTAAATATTGAAACACGTCGTTTTTAAACATTTTTAGTTAAAATTTTCATGAAAATAATTTTGGCCGCCTAAATCGGTCAAATACCCCTATGTGCGTTGTCTAATTGTTTTCTAACCTAAATGTTTGTTGAATTGCCGCCTGCGAAATTCGCTTAAACAGTCAATGATACCAGATAGCATTTGCCCACCCCCGTTTAACTCTTCGCAGATGGCCTTGGGTATTATGATACATAATGCAATGCACTATCACCCTCAGGCCTTCGTGCCTTCAAAGCTTAAATCAGTCTCTTATAATCTGGGATGTGATCATCCTAACGAAAAGGATACATATCTATCTAAAAATTGTCCACGCCATTCAATCCTTTTTGAAGTTTTAACTTTGCGTATTTTAATATTGCTAATGCTTAGGCCTGGAACACCATGGACCATCTACCTTTTAGAACTGCAAGATTAGTGGCCGGTTCTTTAACCTTGTTTGAACCATCTATGTACCAATTTACATAGGTATTTGAGGTCAACGGCAGGAAGCCGGTTTCGTCAGCCTTCACGATCTGATATGTGCAACACAAACGGGTTCGATTTTCGTACAAAATATAGGTAAGTTGGGCTAGTGGCCACTTAAAAAGCAGTGCTATAACTAGAACTACAGTATTAGGCTCCTTGTAATATCAAGATTTGGAATTCCATTTACCCTTGCTGAAGCAGTTTGTTCTAACAAATCTCGTCAAGAATTTCAGATTCACTACATCAAGGTCATCCAGAAAAAGCAATCCACAGTGTCACAGCTTCCTTCTATACAGAGTGGGAAAGTTACCAAGAATATGAAAAATACCCTTTTTCAATGGTTTTTGCAGCTTCTGTAGCATGTCCGGGAAGATGCTGGTCAGCTTATTCATCTCTAAAACAATTTACTTTAAGAACCACTTAAGATGATATTGAATGTATCATACTTTCTGAGAGATTACAATCTCCAAAGTCTTGTCCGATTTACATGGTCGCGTCTCTTTGCAAATCCGTCCACCGTGCAGTTTCCGTCTATGTATGTCCCTTTGTCGAGAATGAGTTCAGCTCAATAAAAACAAAGACCACACTGTAGCTTTCAAAATGTACAAATCTGTAAAAAAATTTACAAATCGTGTGACTCCTGATTTAGAATATGATCTACTTTCAAATGAATTTCCGTCATATCTTGTAGCATTTTTTTAAATAAAAACGGTTTGCTGTAATTCTTGTGAATGTATAGCCTCCATCACCAGGGCTGCCAACTATGCTTAGATATGAAGTGCCATATTGAGGATAAAAAAGTGCCAAAATGTGCCAAATAGAAAAATAAAAGTGCCAAAAAGGTGTCATTATTCTTAATTCTTTCCATTTAGAATTAAAATTGGAAGCACATTCCTAAAACAAAAGTCCAATGCTAAGATAAACCAGTTGTATACACTATAGAAATTAGAAAATTTTAGTTGAGAAAACCCAGTACACGCAAAGGATTTCACAAAAATGTATTGAAATATTAATATTTTTCAAAAGTGCCATTTTGGCGCTTTGTGCCAAATTGAAAAATTAAGTGCAATTTGAAGTAAAATAGGGCCAAAAATGGCACGGTTTGAGCCAAGTTGGCAGCCCTGTCCATCACTGCATGGTAATCGAAATGAGAATATGGAATTAGTGTTTCATGAAAAAATATCCTTTCCCGCTTTATATTAAACTAGGAGCCATATGCTAAGATGGCCATAGCAATGGTATTTTTATGCGAGTTTGAACACATTGCTCCGTGCCGACCGAAAGAAAATTGACAGTGTTGCAAAATAGAACTTGCCTTATGCTGCCTCCAAATAATAAATATTTCAGAGCCATAAATATTATAATGCGAAAAATCAATAAAAGTGTCACGATAGAGCTTTATCTACATTGCAATGTTTTTCAAAGTTTAGAGTTTTTAAATGGCAACCCTTTTAATTTTCAGCACGATCGTGGCCGTAAATACGAGATTGACGTAAAGACGCGTGAGGAGATCACTTCACTAATCGCACATCATGTAACTGCCGTAAATTACATTTATCGCAATACTAAATTCGATGGACGAAGCGAGCACCGCAATATACGTTTTGAGGTGAGTTAAATAAAAATAAAATAATTAAAAATATAAATCCAGCAAACGCAGTGAAACCTCGGTATAAAGAAAAATTTAAAATCATGAAAAGCTTGCTCAGCCTTTTAAAAAACGTCTTGAGCAATCTTGCCATCGATGTTTATGGAAACGATTTCAACATATATGTAATACTTCTATATTGGCAGTAAGCTAACTTCTCAATGTGTAAGCATTCCGAAATCAAAGCGAGACAGTCTAGTATGGTTTTTGTCAATGTATTGTGTACTTGAGTGCCGTTTTTGTATATGTGTTGTGTACATGTTTATTTATAAACGTATGTGTTCCTTTTCTTTCGTACGTGTTTATTGATATATCTGAACTGTAGTGTTTTCGGACGGTACTAGTCTTACTGCCAATATAGGAGTATTACATATATGGATTTCAACACCCACATTATAATACCGAATAAGCTGACAGTTAGAGTAGCATTTTGCTTTAATCTGAAAAATTAAAAAGAAATTTTACAACGATATTTTTTTTGGCAATTTTAGAATATTTTTCGCTGCATTACAACATTTTTATTTATTTAAAAATATTTCCATACATACATACATGATGTTCTACAGTATATTTGCAACAATTCACGAACTTCCTCAATTATTCTCTCTCACTCTGCAGGTGCAACGCATCAAAATCGATGACGACTCCGCCTGTCGCAATTCATACAATGGTCCACACAATGCCTTCTGCAATGAGCATATGGACGTGTCGAACTTTTTGAATTTACACTCGCTGGAGGATCATTCGGACTTTTGTTTAGCCTATGTGTTCACTTATAGGTGAGTATTTTTCATAAAAGTGCCTGTATTAACCAATCAACATCAAAATCTTTTGCAGAGACTTCACCGGCGGTACGCTCGGCTTAGCTTGGGTGGCCAGCGCCTCTGGTGCTTCTGGTGGCATTTGTGAGAAATTTAAGACTTACACCGAAACAGTCGGTGGACAATATCAAAGCACAAAACGCTCGCTAAATACGGGCATCATTACATTCGTTAACTATAACAGTCGTGTGCCGCCAAAAGTGTCGCAGTTGACGCTGGCGCACGAGATTGGGCATAATTTTGGTTCGCCCGTAAGTAGCTATAATTATTTATTTGAGATGTATTGACATAAAAAAAAATTCTAATAATAATCAAACGCTTTTCCGTTCTGCAGCACGATTATCCATTGGAGTGTCGGCCAGGCGGCCTAAATGGAAACTTCATTATGTTCGCCAGCGCCACCTCAGGCGATCGGCCGAATAATTCTAAATTCTCGCCCTGCTCCATACGCAACATATCCAACGTTCTGGATGTGTTGGTCGGAAACTCGAAACGGGATTGCTTCAAGGTATCGGAAGGTGCCTTCTGCGGCAACAAAATCGTCGAATCGGGCGAGGAATGTGACTGCGGTTTCAACGAAGACGAGTGCAAGGACATTTGTTGTTATCCGCGCATCATCAGCGAATACGACCTCTCGATGAATAGCTCGGCGAAAGGTTGTACGCGGCGGGCCAAGACGGAGTGTTCACCTTCGCAAGGTCCTTGTTGCCTCTCGAACTCATGTCAGTTCGTGCCAACCAACTACCATCAGAAGTGCAAAGAAGAAACGGAATGTTCCTGGTCGAGCACATGCAACGGCACCACTGCCGAATGCCCGGAGCCAAAGCCGCGCGACGACAAAACGAAGTGCAACAATGGCACTGCGCTCTGCATACGCGGCGAGTGCTCGGGCAGCATTTGTCTGCTGTGGAATATGACTGAGTGTTTCCTCACCTCACAAGCGGTGCCGCAAGTCGACAAGCGTCGACTGTGCGAGCTTGCTTGTCAGAATGGTAACGATAGTGGTACTTGTCGCAGCACTAGTGAATTTGCTCATCGGGTTGGTCTGCCGGAAGGCGGCATTAACTTAAGGCCCGGTTCGCCATGTGATAACTTCCAGGGCTACTGTGATGTGTTTCTTAAATGCCGCGCTGTTGACGCAGATGGACCGCTGGTCCGACTGAAGAACCTGCTGCTTAATCGCGAGACCCTACTCACCGTAGCGCAATGGGTCACCGAATACTGGTACTATGTAGTTATAATAGGCGTGTGCTTTATCATTGTGATGGGCATATTCATTAAGTGTTGCGCTGTGCACACGCCCAGCTCAAATCCGAAGAAGCGTCGAGCGCGTCGTATTAGCGAAACGCTGCGCGCACCGATGAATACATTGAGACGGATGGTGAGTAAATGTGATTTACTTTTTCTAAGCTATTCCGTCACTAATATAAATTTGTTCCCGACAGCAACGTCATCATCAAGGCCGCGGCGCCGGTCCACGCAGCATACCACCGCCAGCGCACGAACAACGTGGCGCTGCCACCAGCGCCCATCATCGTAGTACGCATCCCCATAATTGGGATCGTCATCAGGGTGGACATTCCATAGTGCCGCTACCCACGGGTGGTCCACATCATAACCATCATGCAAGCGGACGCGCGCCAGCAATTGCAGCCAATGCTGCTGCAGCAAGCGGGCGGACGCCGGCCAACGGACGCAGCTCGCGGCCATCAACGCGACCTTCGAGCGGTACACGCAGCACAACGCATGGCGGGTATGCAGACGCGCCACCACCTGGCCTTGTGGTTGGTGGTGTGCCAACTGGTGTTGGTGTTGGTAGTGGTGGTGGTAATGGCGTGCCAAATGGCGCGCTAGTAGTGGGAGGCGCCGGCAGTAGTGGTGGGCCCAGCGCTGGTGTAATTGCGCGCCAGCAAATACCGCTGCCACTGCCGCCCACCGGCGCGGTACAAGCGCAACATTTACAACAACAGCAGCAACAACAACAAGTGCAGGCAACACTCTCGCAGGCATTTTATGCGCCACCGAAAGGTGTGTTTCCGCCGCAAGCGGTCCAAAAGGCAAAACGCGCTAAAGCGTCAAATAAAAGGCGCGCGTAGTTTTTATTTCAGTACAAAAATGTTCATTCATTTTCCTTATTGTTTCGTTTGTTACAATTTCAACGCACGCGCGTATTCAAAATTTACCTCACTTGTGTACCATTTTCCTATATTTTTATTTTCCATTTTTATTTACTCGTAATTGATTTTATTTTATTTCTTTCCTTAAACACTTTTATCGAAAATCCATTCGATAATTTGATTCAACACAGTACCAGCCGCCAAACGAAATAAATCCCGCAATCCAGCAGCTGGGCGCTCTTCTAAAGAGCCGTCCCAGCGCGCGCAGCAGGCCGCGCCGAAAAGACACCGCAAGGTCGTTTACTGAACCTGTAGTCGTGTACCTAATGATCTCCACTCCAAAACAACTGCTACACACAATAATATATACCACGTTTTCATTCTCACCAAATTGGTATGACACGCTTTCCAATCCCTTACGATTTATTTTCGTTTACTAAAATTCTTTCACTTTTATTAGCATTTGTGTCACTTTCACTAATTTCTTAAATTTTTTTTAATTTACTGTTTTGTTTTAGCCGTGTTTGCATTTGGTGTTTTTGCACAAGCAAATAAACATTTTTAGTTTAAAGATACATATATATTTATATATATATATATATATATAATTGTCATTTGTATTGTTGTATTTCATTTAAATGTTGTTGTTTTGTTTCAGCATGTACCAGCGTTTGGTTTTACTTAAGCGATAATAACAAATAAACAAATTTATATGATTTATTTAGTATTCAAATATTTAGCACTAAACAAATAATAACTAACATTTTGTTTTTTTTTTTTGGTAAAGTTTTTATTTTTTATACTAATGTTAATTTTTGAATATTCATACTAAAGACTGAGAATGATGAGTGCTTGAAATGAAATGCTAGATAAACTAATTGAAAAGTAGTAGAAATAACATTACGGATGAGACCACATCAGACCGGGTCGGTTCCTGTATAAAAATAAGCTGACTTCGAGAAAAATTTCGCGTCATACAAATAAACTGGTTTCAATAGCTGCTCTTATATTAATCAAAATATAAACCTGCTACTTGGATGCAATCACTGTTGTAAAATTTTACTAGCGTTCAAGCGAATTTAAGCACCCAGTAAAAATAAAGTTTTTCTGGAAAAATTGGTTGATTTCTCAGCATATCTCCATATATCACGATGTACATACATAGGTACTCCTATGTATTTAGTCTACTAGTCAAAAAATAGGATTCCCTAAGGTCCCAAATAGACATTTGTTTCAGTGATGAGGTCTTCATTCGACCCAAATCTTTTACCTCACATCAATTTTTTCGGGTTTGCAAACATCTAATAGCGGGATTAAGATAAGTTGCAATTGGGTAGAGGTAGCAGTTCGTGCAGCAAGTTATAGAATATGAACTAACAACAGGACAATTCTGGCCAAGATAGTAAAAAGTCTTTAGTAAGACAAAGAAAGACATATGGCAAGATAGTTCGATAGACTTTTGTTATTCAAGCACAAAAGTCTTAGAAAAACACGCTCTCATACACCACTAGTGGTGAAAAGTTATTGAGAGAAAACACTTGTATATCATTTAGCTCGCGTAGCTCCAACAGTCGCAATGGCCGAGTGAGCAAGGCATAGGCATTTCGAGAGATCCGAGTTCGAGTCCTTGAGCAGTGGATTTATATATGTATATATATATATATATATATATATATATATATGTATGTATATATATATATATATGTATATACAAGAGCGCTCGGGTATAAAAAAATTAGTTAAAAAAGAAATGTGCAAAATAAAATAAGTATAAGGGTATTATAACTTTGTTCACATAACGGTTGTTTGTGACAGCCAAAACGAATCGAGATAGATATAGACAAACGTATACATAAATGATCAGAATGAAAAGAAAAATCGATTAAGCGGTCTGTCCGTTCGTCCGTCTGTGCACACGATAACTCGTGTAAAAATTTAGATACCTTAACGAAACTTGGTACGAGTACTTCGTACTACGTGACAATAACCACGCCTACCTCCCATATAACTGTAGTTTTCAGAAATACGAAAACTGCGATATTTTAGCAACTACTGAAGATTATTCACTCAAAATTGCAATACTTTTTAGACGTAAATTAAGAATATTATACATTTTTTGAAAACGGGCGTAGCCACACCCACTTATGGTTACATCTGTATATCTTGGTAATCGCTCAACCAATTTCTCTTAAACTTGGCACAGTTGTTGGCTAACGTACCAAATGGCTGAAAATTTTTTAAAATCGGACATTAACCATGCCCACATCCCATATATCGGTAAATTAGAGAAATACGAAATCTTCGATAAATCAGTAAATACTAAAGCTACTTTATTCAAAATTGATGTTTGCAATTATTCTTTACTAAGAAATACGCTTATGATAAAATTTTGGAAGGTGGACGTGGCAACGCTCTCTTATTATCACATATATGTATCCCGATAACCGTTCTACCAATTTGTACCAAACTCGGTGTGGTTATTGTGCTTGACACGTAAAAGCAAAACGTTGGAAATTATTGAAATCGGACTAATATTACGGCCACTTTTCATGTAACGGTAAATTTCAGAAATGCTTGAAACTTCGATATTTCGAAATTTAAGAACGCTTATTTACTCAAAATTGATACTAACAACATGCCCTTGAAAATTTGGAATTTCGGGAAATAAGTGTGATACCGCCCCCATATGACTATATAAGTTTATCTCATTATGTCTAACTGAACGTTCTGTCGAAGATGTTTAAAATAGGGGTAAAACCAACCCGCTTACCCCGTAGCGGTAGTTTTCGGAAAGGAGAAAAAAACATATATTTAATACTTGCGCCGGGTATTTAATGTTCGGCTCCTCCCGAACTTAGACTTTCTTACTTGTTTTAGTTTAGTTTTCTTTTCACTTTAGATTTTAATGTTTAAAAAAGGATTTTTTTTAATTTCATGTAATATTTAGAAATTTCTTCTATTTATTTTTTAGTTTTCTAATTTAATTTGTTTTTCTTTTGTCAATTTCAATTTCATTTTCTTTTAATTTTTATATTTTATTGTTTTAAAAAGAAAATATAATTCTTTTATTTCATTAAATTTTTGGGATCTTATTTTATTTTTTGTCTTTTAATGTTTAGATTTTGCTAAATAAGAAATACACTTTTTTAATTTCATTTAATTTGTAAATATGTACCCAAATTTTTTTCTTTTTCTAATTCATTTCCCTTTTAATTTTAGAAAGTATTTTTATTTATTTTTCCTTTATTTTCATTTCATTTTATTCTTTTATATTCAATTTTATTTTATTTATTAATTTTTATTATTTTAAAAAGCAAAAATATATTTTTGATTTAATGTTAATAAAAATAAAAAAAGCGATCAGCATAACGCTAAGGCCTCTTCGCTAGCAGATCTTTCAATTACACTTTCGAAAGACAGTAAAAAGTTGCCAGAATTGACAATTGCCTTACGAAAGACTTTTGTATTTCGAGACAGTTTTTTTTTTTAATTCGATTCGGTCCAAACTTAGGTAGTTCTAGGGATATTTTTTTTCTTTTTTGGAACATTTAACTTCGTTAATACATAGTTAAGCCTATAAGAGACCAACAATTGCGCTGGCTTGAACAAGTCGTACGCATGGATGATGATGTTTCGGTGAAAAAATCCTTCGACACGGCTCCAATGGGTGGACAACGAACGTAAAGTCGCCGCCGAACACAATAAAAGGGCCAAATGTTTGCAGTTGGCAAAGATTTGTACCCGGCCCTGACCGACAAACCATTATAGTGCCAAATAAGAAGAAGAACGCCCACATATTTTCGGTCAGATTTTAGTTAGGGTCTTAAAATGTCCAATTGATAGCGCGGTCGGATGTTTTAAACGTGTGGCAATTTATTTTATCAATGCTTTTTAATGACAAGCTTAGAACAAAAGTTAACTCCTTTGTAAATATGTATGCTGAGGCCAATTGCTTTTGTTTTTTGAACCAATTTTATTTTAACTACTGTTTATCAGTCTCTACTTTTTCAAATTTCTTCATCGCTGACATTTTGAATTTCTTATAGTCGTCAGTCGACGTACATGCGAAGTTTAGCGATATGGGGAATATTTTATTTATTTTGGAACGAATTTCCGTTTTCGTTCAAAAAAGTACACTTAAGGTTACATAATGCCGAAACCGGTCTATCTCCAAACCTGACATGGCAAGAGATGACTAAAAAATTAAGTATTTATAGGAGCTTTGTTTAACGCTATATAGTGGATACATAGGTTTGTAGAGCATTGATAGTAAGGAAAGATGTTGTGTATGTAGGTGGTTAAAACCACAAATATTAGCGTTAAAGGAAATGTTTAGAGTTTTAACTTAATTGAGTAGTCTCAATCATTTAACACTGTACTCGGAATATGTAAATGGCGACCTATTCATTTTGGGGCTGTACATACTAATACCTAGAACAAGTAAAAGAAAAGGCAGCAGCAGCATCATTTCAAGCTACTAATTTATTTTATTAACTGCAATGTAGGATTTTATATATGGATGAATGTGATTTAATTAATATTTGTGTTGAATGAACGATAATTAATTACTAACTTAATTTTAATTCCTTAAATTTTTGATCCTTTTAACTTATTTTACTTACCTTTCTCAAAATTTTCTCCTCAATGCAAAAAACGAACAGCCGTCGCTCCGCAACCAGCAAATTATAATCGACCGCCATCGCTGCAAAATCCAGAGTTATATGCGGACGCTTATGCCGCGCTGGGACGGGGGGCATATGAGGCGACTACGCGCCCACCCAACACCAAAGTTTGACAGCAGCAACAGCAATCTCAGCGTCAAAAGTTGGCTCCGCAAACGCTCAAGAAGCAGCTAAAATCAACAGCAACAAAAACCACAGAAGCAACAACAACACAAAAATCAAATGAACTCAAATTAAATGTAAATGTCCTTTTTACGCTAATTATTATTATTTAAAACTAAAAAAATAAGCAAAACTAACAAATGTTAAACGAAACAAACAAAATAATCAAACAAAGAAAAACCATACAAAAATAAATAAATAAATATATTTTTTAAATTAAATTGATATACAAAATACACACAAAAATAAGCATAACAGTAATCAAAGTGAACATAACCTAAATTAAATAGTGAAAAAGGTTAGAAGCGTAGGTAAAAAATGTGAATTTGGTTCGGGTAAATTGCGGCGAATACAAAACAGACGTAATAAATACTGAAATATGTATTTAGTTAATAGAATTGAAAGTGAAGACAAAAATTTAAAATATGTATAATCATCCGAATATTTTGTGCAGAGAACTAAAAAAGGAAATGTTAAAAATAATACATAGAAAGCGAAAGTAAGCAATGTAAGTGTTAAACTAAAACAAAATATAACGCAAACACGTCAAAACGACTATAAATAAAAATATGGATATAAATTGTAGAAAATAAATTACATAATTACACCTAAATTCATAATTCATAAGTTAGTTATGCATACAGAGAAAGCGTTAGTACTAAATGGGCGTAAACTAACAGAATATACAGTGAAATGTAAAACAAGTATAATTGATTGAGCGAAAGTCGCAAACAGATTTAGCATTTAAAATTTACAAAAAGAGTATAAAATAAAAGATGATAAAACATTAAATATATGTATTGCATATGTACGCTACATTTAATAATATTTTTTGCATGAGAATGAAATTAAAGAAAATCTTGGACCTGCAATAAAAATTATTTTACATTTACTAATTTTATGAAAAGGAAGCTGTTTGCAAAGAAATGTTCAAGGTGTTCAATTTGTGGAAGGAAGCGAACAAATTTTTTTAAAGTATGTATTTTTACATTAATGCCTCAATTTTATGCACGCATTTTATCTTTTTTTATTTTTATGTCTAAAAATACATATTTATTTTTGCGCACTTAAAAAGCGGCTTTTACTTTTTAGCTAGTCAGGCGTCAGGTTTTATTTATAACATTAAGAACGCGAAACTTCACTTCTAGCTGATATTATAGACAGGAGAACATTTCAAGAAACCACTCAGTTCCAAGCTGGCATTCTAAACACTCCCTTATTCATAAAAATAAAATTAATTTGTAAAGCTTTATATAGGGACAATTTTGAAACAAATTTCCATTTTTAGAGCATTTAAAATCATAAAAAAAAAAAAAATTGTTAAAAACGTTTTTTTTACCATCGCAGAATAGGTCTGTAAATGTAAGAAGCCAGTACTATATCCCTCAATTAAAAAAAAAAAAACGAAATCATGAAACTATGTCTGCAGTGGGATCACGATAGCTCGTAATCCAAGTTTCCACCAAAATATTACGAGTTATTGCGATTTTTGAGTTAGCGAAATTACGTGTTATAGACAGCAAATATATATTTTATAGTAACTTTTTATTTTTTCATCATTTTGTTTTTATAATTTCGCATTTTATTTTTATTCGCAGTTTTGTAACTGCGTTTAAAAATTTTACACTCAATTTGGGATAAAAAAAAAAGCACTTGAACTCCGAATAGGTCGAAAAAGTCAATTGTGCTTTTTATTTTTATTTCATTCATAACGAGTTAAAGAATAGGACAGTTTTGCAAAACCAAAAATAAGGCTAAATCGATTTGAGAGATTGCGAGGTTGCAGGTTATCGAAATTACGCTGTATATGAATCGTGAGCATTTTATGCCATTGTTAATCAAACGTATTTTGAATTTTTTAGAAGTCTTTGGTTTACTTTATTTAACAAACAAAAATATACCTTTTTTTTTTTGGTGAGGTGGTAAGGATTTTCGGTGCTTCTTTTGGATAAATAAAATAAGTGACTTGATCCTTTTCCAAACAATACATTTTAAATTTCTCTAGCCTCCTGTATCAAAATATGAGTTTTCATATAAAGTGGACTTAGCAACTTTTCACTCTAAGCTAACGATATGTACATACATTAATACATTCATACATATACTGGATGAATATTCGGAAAATAATATAGAATTTCGAAGATCAACATAAAATATGTTATATTCAGTTAATAAGAATTTATATTTTTAGAATTTTTTTAGCAATAAACTTCGCTTCAACCACACCACCTTGACTTCTTTTGGTGCGACGCTTCCTCTGGTGATTACTATACATACATATGTACGTAATGTCATCATCGATGCTAAATATATCTACGATTCGAAATTTTTTTTTTAATTTTTTTGCTATTAAAGATTTTTTGCATATTTTAAAGAGCCGTATTTCGAGTGAAAATTTAAGAAGTTTCTTGCTTTTCCTGCGAATTTTCAAATTTGTCAAATAGGACCGTTTGCATTGCTGGTTTGGATGTGCAGCAAAAATAAAAATAAAACAAACGCCTGATGTTAACCTAAATTGCTAAGATACGAATACAAAAAACATACATATTTTGTTCAAATTTGCTTCATAAATGCCTCATTATTTTAATTATTTAAGCTTAGAATTACATAGAGTTTAATGAAAGCAAAAGATAAATAAAATAGATACATATGTATTTTTAAAAGCACATAAAGTCATAAAATGTCATTTCCTTTACTGCTTTAGTTTATCTTTTTTGTTTTAATACGATCTTATGCCTATATGTATGTAGATTAAGTGATATTGTAAAACTTGCAGACATTTGTAAGAGTTAAAATAACAAAACACTCATATAAGATTAAAATAAATCAAATTGTTAGTTGACTTTTGAAAACTTCAACTAGAGATATAATTATATGTATTTTTACGTAAATTTTTAAGTATTTTCTATGTAAAATGTGCTCATTAGAAATAAAACGAAAAAATTAAGCGAAAATCATCAACATTTATGTTTTTATCGAAGTTTTTTTTTTAATTGGAAAATACTAAAAAGGCATTTGTGTATCTTTTCCTCTGTTGGACTCTATTGCGTTATTTCTTTGTCTCTGCACTATTTCTGAATGCATTTGAGCGCACAATAAGCTGAAAAAAAATGTTAAACACGATTAGTATATTCATTGCTTCTTAAGTATTTTTTTCGATAAATCTCACAACAAGAAATATGTACATATATAAATAGTAATTAAAATCCCAGGTATTTAAATATTAAAAATTATTATACTGTGCATGTTATTTACTGGTTTGAAAAAACTACACCTACAGTCTAAAAATTTTTGTTTAAATTTGCGCATATTAAGATAAGTAGGTTTCCTCTCTTAGTGAATGCAAATTTACACACCGTGTTTATTAAATTAAACACTACTTGCTTAAAGCTCAGTTAGTCTAGACTTAACCGTAAGAAATCATTAATGATTACTCAACACGTCAATTTAAGTCATGAGCGGAAATATTTTGTTTTTGTATTTTCTTTTTCAGCTGTTTAACAGTTCGCCGCCTACAATGCCACATCAAAAAAATTCATGCAAACAAAAATGTTTGCTTTAATTTTTTTTTAAGAAATACAAAACCGAGAGTCTGGCAAGCCTGATTCTCTCACCGCTCTCAATTTTCGTAAGGCCGTAACTTAAGAACCTAAATCCTACAGGTTCTTAAGTTTTTTTACGGTAAGTTAAGTTTTAACTAACCGCCAACACAGTTTCTCATATAACAGCTCGGCTAAAACATTAAGTTAAGTTAAGTTACTGAAATTAAGTCTAGACTAACTGAGCTTTTACTTTTACTTATCATATGTGTGGCGTAAACAAATTTCAAATTTGTTTGTTGAGTTCTAAACATTTATTGTTCACAATTTACACATAAACACTAAACACTGTCTGTTTACTTTTACATATAAAATTTGTATCGTAGAGAAAAATTACACACAAAGCGTTTAAAATTTAGTAAAAATGAGCACTTAATATTTATTATTAGTAAAAAATATATCTTTACTTTGAAATGTTTTACAATTTTATAATTTTTTAAACATTTCGTGTTCAAAATCAAATCATGATTATTTTGTGCGTATATTTACTCAGGTTCTGGGTGAAAAATAAACACTTTTTAGTAGTAGTTTTACCTGCACTTTTTAGAGTGTATACAGTGTTTTAATCTAGTACTCAAAGTTCAAAAGAGGCATATTATGTTTAAAAAAAAAAAAGTAATTTTCCTGCCTTTTCTCCCATGAGACTATTTCTAAGAGGCTCGTATATAAGGCCGGCTGCACTGAGCAATTGCTCACTTGGAACGCTTGCGTGTGGAGCGCTCAAATATTTGCGTGCCAAATTTTTCGTATTTTAGTTTAGTTTTCTACCAACCGCGATTATTTTCACCGAGATGAGCTCATTTTTCTTTAAGATAGGCCTTCAATTGAGCTTTAAATTCACATTTTTTAATGTATCCAGATTCTACATCCGAGCCTTCGCTTTCGCTGGAGGAATCTAAAATTTCTTCTAGGTTGCTTATACGACTTTTATCAGTACTTGTTGATCAATATTGCTTGGTATACTTCTTAACCTTAACCTGAAGCTAAGAAGCCGGTTATTGTCCGCACCATGGTTAGACAGACCATTTCAACAATATTTAGAGTGGACTCTCTGCCCATGTACACATTTGCATTCGCAAAACATTCGCATCTTTTGATGCGAATGTGTAAAGTGATGCCAAACATTCGCATAACGAATGCGAATGCGAATATTCGCAACATCCTGATACATACATATGTATGTATGTAGTTTTAGAAGAACTTTGGACACCATCTTTCGCACCGTTCTCATCTTTAAGGCAAAAGTGAAAAGTTACGAGAAGCTGTTCTGAGCACTGCTGATACTTATTATAGTATGTAGATACAGGATTAAATAGAAAAGGCCTTAAAAATATAATTTTTATTAATTTGCGCGAATGTATGGCTGGGTGCGAAACGTGCGGAATGTTATCATTAAGTTAGAAGGAAACAGCTATGTATATGCATTTATTTTCATAATATCTTTACTTGTAAATGCCTTATATTCACGTAAACCTAGTAACTTATTTGG